TGCAATTGTTTTTCTCTTTCTGCTTTATCAATTAGATAGTGTAGGGCCAAATTTATGGCTAAATTTAAGAAACCTCTGGCTTACATAATTGCATGCTTATTTTTTCTTTCTCTGAATTTTTATATTTATAAAATAGGATTTTACTGTAATGTCTGAATTTTTATAGGCTGTCTCAAATGCTTTGTTGAAAGGAGGCAAAGTATCTACAATAATAAAAGTATAGTATGCTTATTGGACCAGACAGCCGAACGACCTTCTGGACGTCATTCTAGACATCCTTCCGGACAAAGCCGTGGCGGTGGGGGCTGAGGCAGAGGCGGTTAGGGGCGATCAGGAAGGCAGGTGAGCGGTTAGGGGTGATCAGGCAGGCAGGTGAGTGGTTAGGGGTAATCAGGCAGCATGGTTAGGGGCAGTCAGGCAGGCAGGCAGGCAGGCAAGTGGTTAGGAGCCAGTGGTCCCGGATTGCAAGAGGGTGCAGGCCAGGCTGAAGTGACCCACCCCTTGTGCACAAATTTCGTGCACTGGGACCTCTGGTATAGTAATAAATAAATAGCTTCAAGATTTTGATGGATACTTTTGTTCCTTATTACTTTAGTCACTTATTAGGAGCCACTTACTGCTGAACATCAGTCCTGAGAAGGAGTGAAGGAGCTAAAAGCAGTTCTTGGCTGATGAGGATCAGAAGCCCCACACATGGAATCCGGCTGCTTTCCAAGTGAAGTGACTCACTGTGCTCACCTGCCATGTTCAGTTTCATTCAGTTTTCTAAAATGTCTAGAATTTTCCAAAATAACGTTTGAAGAACTCTCTTACTTAAAGTAGTTTGTAAAGTTTTTAGGCATTTTGTATTGGAAGGGAAATTCAACTAAGAGCGTATTTGAGTATTTGAGCTGGTGAACCAGGAGTTTAAATAAATCAAATGAACCAGGGAGAATGCTGTTTTGTGTCTCTACGGAAACTTATATCTTTGGGGTAGCAGAAAATTTAATTCTGGGCATTTATACCTGTTCTCAGTATAAAAACACCACAGTGCTTACCTCTTTTTTTCCATTTTATGCTGGAACTTATAAGCAGGTCAACATGATATATATCTTTTACATTTTTATAGCTTTTCTTGGTTCTGAAAACAGTTAAAGAAATATATATCAGGCCAAAAGGTAAGACAATTTTATAAAAGAATAAAACCAACCTCATTGAAAAGAAGCTGAAAGATTAAGTACTCCCATTTGTCAGTGCTCAGGAGGTTGGGATCATATTTTTGATTTGACTTTTTCTGCTTGCTCAAGTGAGAAAAAGCAGCACAGAACCATATCGTTTTCATGTACTCACAACCGGAAGCATATAAACATCTGCAGAAACCAAACATTTCCTGGAACTAAACTCGAGCAGAAATTTATCACGTGAATCTTTGTTTAAAGAACCCAGTGAAAAATATCTTCAACCACAGTTATGTAAAAGACCCAGGGGTGCCGTCCACGTGGATTCGGTTCTCCAGAGGCAGAGTCGAGGAGTCCGCAGAACATGCTTGAAGTGCGTGTGCTGGCTGCACAGGCCGGGTGCAGGGCCTGGCGCGCAGGGCCGGTGCGGGGGGCTCGGGGCCCAGCACCCGCAGCCTCTGCTGGTTTGAGGTCATACTCAGGAGAGGAGCTTAGAAAGTCAGGATTGTTCATAGGACTTATCGATTGTTTTTTTTCTCTAAAATGGTAGGCGTTGTCAGTGTGTTTTTGGTGTGGGTGCCGATTTCATTCTGTTCATCTCAAGGCAAACACCTGCAGTTGGAGATACTTTATTTTGGAGATCCATGTGAAGCTTTTAAGCTTCGAAGGAAGCAAGCCACCTTTTTCATGGGATTTTAAGGGTTGGGCTTCTCGTTTTGCCCATTCAGAAGTCTAGTTCACTTCAGAGTGAAGAACAGTGGAATCTTATTTTTTCAAGGAGCTTTTGCTCAATTTAAGTTTCCCTGACAGAAAGTAATGTGAGACTTCACAACCTCGGTGACATGGAAGAACAACTTTCGCCCGAAGTGTTTGAGGGACAGTTAACAACGAACTATCTATCTTTTGAAAACCTGAACTGGAAAACTTGAGTTTGGTCATTACAGTGCAGTTTCTTTGAAGAATGTTTGTATCCCTTGAGCCTGCTGGGCTGAGTTAACTGAAGCACTGTCAAACATTCAGATGGAGTGATGGAGGCTCAGATGGTGGAGTAGGGAGAAGAAGTTAGAATTTAGATATGTATATACAGTATTTTAAAGTAGAGCCAACAAGATTTGCTGATGGATAGGAGCCTGGGTGTGAGGAAAAGAGAAAAGTCAGGGGTGACTTGGAGGATTGAATTATCAATTAAAGAGATGGGGAATTCTAGAGGAGTATCATTCTTAGAGGGGAAACATCTAAGAGGGGAGTTTGCCCTGGGGCATGTGAAGTGTGAAATGTCTATTACACATTGAAGGGACGATGTCAAGTAGGCAGCTGGAAATATGAGTCTGGAGTTCAGGGGAGCTCTTATCGTTGGTATTTTAAATGATAAGACCCAATGAGATGGCCAAAGGGGAGGGAGTTTAGATAAAAAATAAGTTTGAGAACTGAGACCTTGGGTCACTCCAGCATGAAGAGGGGGGGATAATGAGAAACCTAAGAAGACATGGCCAGGGAAGCAGTGGGAGAGCCAGAAGAGTGCGATGTCCTGGAAACCAAGCAAAGAAAACACGTTTACAGAAAGGGTTGTAATCAGCCCTGTCAGATACCACTGACAAGTCCAGGAGGATGAGAACTGATCATTACATGTAGTAAAAATTGTCTCTGATGCTTTTTACCCAAATGGCCTTGAATGAATTACCTGCCTCGTAGGGTGGTGGTGGTGAACTGTTTAAAAAGCGTCTGCCTCACTCCCTGTCTGTTGGATAGTTTAAGGTGGATGCCATCGGTGACTTTAACAAGAGTAGTTTTCAGTGGATCCATGGGCACGAAAGCCTGATGGGAATGGTGGGTTCGAGTGAGAATGGGAAGGAAGAATGGGAGACAGCAGGTAGAGAAATGGATGTTTATCCATGGGAATGTCGGGTCAAGAGAAAGTTGTTTTTTTTCCTCTCTGTCTATGGTTGGGAGGAAGTACACAGTTTACTTGCTGATGAGAACCATCCAGTATAGAGGATAAATGGATGATGTAGTTGGATAAGGATTGTGAGGTGTTTGGGTCGTAGATACCAAGTTGACTGAAATAACGAGATTTGTCCTTTGTTTTCCGCCCTCTCCTCCTCAGTCTTTCATTCATTTGTTTACCAAATAGTTATTAATGGTTCACAAGGTGCCAAGGTCTGAAGTAAGTTCTGGGTAGAGAATGATGATTAAGGGACGAATTAAATAGGAATGATCTCTACACTCTGCATGAAGCTTTTAAATATATTTTTTATTGATTTCAGAGAGAAAGGGAGAGGGAGAGAGAGACAGAAACATCAGTGATGAGAGAGAATCATTGATCGACTGCCTCCTGCGCACCCCACACTGGGGATCGAGCCCGCAACCTGGGCATGTGCCCTTGACCGGAATTGAACCGTGACCTCCTGGTTCAAAGGTTGATGCTCAACCACTGAACCATGCCCGCCAGGCTCTCATGAAGCTTTTATTGTCTGATGGTGTTGCGCTTTCTAAAAATACCAATAAGTAAATATAGACTGCGATTAAAGCTTAGCAGGAAAAGTACAGAGTATTTTTCAGAGAAAGAATACCATGGTGTGATTTAGACTGGCAGCATTAGGAGGCCTCCGAGCTATAAACGGTGGCCATGATTGGGAGGAAGGGTGTTCCATGTAGAGGGAATAGAACATGCAGAAGCTCGGGGGCAGGGGACAACTGGTGCTTTTGAGGATTTTAGAGGTGGCCAGTGTGGCCAAAGGGGTAGGCAGGAGCCAGGTCTAGCAGAGCTTTCTTGGCCATGAAGATTTTAGATTATATCCTAGGAGCAATGGGAAACCATTGAAATGTTTTAATGTAGGAAATGACATGATTCGATTTGCATTGGTGGAAAAAAAACTATCTGTGTTGCTGTGTCATGGTCAATGGATCAGTGGGGTCAACAGTGGAGAAAAAAGAAGACCAACTTAGGCAAATGATAGTATCTGTGGAAACATGTAGACTGAAATAGTTTTTCTATGAAAAAAATAGAATTGAGAATATCCTTCTTTTAGCAGAATTGGCTTTGAGTTTACCAGGTTTCTCAGCAGCTGTGAAGAGTATTTTCTTGTTAAAAATGATACCAATACAGAAGAGTCAGATGAAAATATTAGTGATTTCAGATTATTTAACAAAAAGATGAAAAGATTATTTACCAAAAATTGTGGTAACTTTGTGAAAAAGTAAAAACAGTAAGACCATATTCATCTTTTTGTCCAGAAAAACTACTAGTGACACAATATTAGAGATAGAATCTAATAAGAAAACAGTAGAGTACATGAATATGTACCAAGAATAATTAATCTGTTTATATTTTAAATGTTTATATACTATAAAGAAACCTTAAAATTTTTGCATTGATGTAGTGGATGTACATTATTTTCATTTTTTAAAATAAAGTAAATATAATAATTTATTAGTTAATAAATATTTCAAAAGTTCCCTTTTCCACTTTCAAAAGTGTCTTAGATTGCATGATAAATTATATGGTTAGAGATAGAGGATCTCTACCAGTTGAGGGTCAGACTGGTAAAAAAGTGGTCAAGTTTTAGAAAACCAGATGCATAATTTATTGTGCTCATTTAAGCTTTTCCCCGAAGAGATTTCTTAAAGCAGAAGGGCAGTTTTAATACCAAGTACTGCTATCTCAGATCACCCACAACTCCAGGGTCATGAATTAACTTGTTCTGAGAACTCAAAAAAAAAAAAAAAGAAGAAGAAGAAGAAGAAAGAAAAAAGAAGAGAAGAAACAGAAGTCATTCCCTGTCTAGACAGTCTACTCGGGAGCATTCTGTCTTGGTTGTAATCTCAGTTTTCTTCCTCGCACAGGCATTTGTGAATGCTCCTCAGAGTCGGAAGAGGCAGGCCACCTCGCCATCTGGAGTGTCTGCGCCTGCTGACCCGAGCGTAACCTGCCAGCTTACGGGAGATGATAGCCGACGCCCCGGACGGCTGAGTAAGTGGATGCTGCTGTGCCTTGCTTTACAGCTTTAAAAAAAAAAAAAAGTCAAATTTTTATAACTTTAAAAGTTTAAAATATTATGCATTTTAATTGGGTTCTTTAAATTTTTGTTGTTGAATAATGATGGCAAGTATTATAATTCCAATAAGTAAATATTTATATGTAATGGGATCCCGGAAGAAATCCCCTAATGATTAAAAAAATTAATGAAAACATTTCCACACATAATACTTCAGCTGTCAAGAGACATAGTGAGAATTTAAATGCATATATGAAAATCTAAAAGCATTCTCCTTAGTGCGTTACTTTACTTTTATATAATGAAATGCAAAATTATTGGTAAGGCAACTGTTCTGAATTTTTTAAATGCAACTCTCTATACAAAAAAATAATTTTTTAACACAGAATGTATTTTGGTTAACTTTAAATAAATACTGTGGGTCTTTTTTAGTAGAAATTGAATTTTAATAGTTCCATTTGGAAATGATTACCCCCCCCCCCCCGCCCCTCCGCTAAGGTAGATAAGATCACAGACTCTCTTATTTAGCTTTGTTTCTGAATTGAAGACACTAGGGAAGAAGGGTATTCATTCTTTCTAATCAAAACATCTCTATGAAATCTAAAGAACTGAACCAGTTGTCTTGATACAAATTTTCTCAGGATGGAAGTGATTATTACTCTTGTTATACCCATCGAAACTGTTTGGACAAAACTAGGAAACCATGAGGTTGTATCAGGATCTTGTTTTGGAATGCTAAGTTTAAAAACAATAGATACAGAAGATGATTCCCACAACAGGGTTATTTGATTTTGGCCTGTATCTGTGCTGTCCAGCAGGGCAGTCGCTGGCCACATGTAGCTGTTGACATTGATATGGGGCTAGTCCCAAGTGAGATGTGCTGTGCATAAAATACGACATTTCAGAGACTTAGTCTGTAGAAAAGGACTAATAGTTTATTCATAATTTTTATGGGAATCACATATTAAATATTTTAGATATATGGGATTAAGTAAAACATTAAAATTAATTTTACTTTTTTATATGACTAGTAGAAAGTTTAAAAATACTTGAGGCTTACATTATATTTCTAATGGACAGAACTGGTCTTTATCTTCATATATAATCAACATTCTTAGTCCTTCATTACTCAGCATTCTGTAGGCCTTAAACCTTCTCGTCTGCATATGGGTCAATTACTATAAATCTGCATTGTTTTAAGAAAGGATTCTTTGATTCATCAAATATTTACTGAGTACCTACGATGTGCCAGACAGTATTTTAGGCACTGGGATTCAGTAGTGAACAAAGTAAACAAAACTCTCTGCTTTATGGAGTTGACATTCTATTGGAGAGACTAAAAATAAGTAAATAAGTGAGATATATAAACTATTAGAAGGCAATAAGTTTTTTTGCAGAAAATATAAGAGAGAAGTTCAATTATATATAGGGTACTCAGGGAAGGCCTCACTGAAAAGGTCATATTTGAGTAACGACTTGAAAAAGGTGAGAGAAAGAGCCTTATAGATATTTAGGGAAGAGTGTTCTAGGCAGAGGAAATAGCAGATGCCAAGATATTGAGGCAGGCTTGTGTCTGTCTGGTTGGAATGGTAGAAGGCGGCTTGCCGTGAGTGATGGGTGGAGAAGAAGAAAGGAAAGGAGAGCCGTGGTTATTGTAAGGATTTTGGCTGTGAGCGAGATGGAAGGAAATTGGTGGGGTTTGAGAAGAGACGTGAGATGGTTTTCTGTTGGTGCTGCTGTGATTCTGATGCTCTGAGGTGAGGGTGGGAGATGGCAAGAATGCAGCAGAGAGGCCCAGTTCAGGGCTGCTGCAGTGACCCAGGTGAGAGGTGGTGGTTCCTGAGACCATAACCCAAGGAAGTGATGGAATTCTAGGTAGAGGCTGTTGTGAAATTACATATGGGATGAGAGAGAAAGAGTTGTGTCACTGTTGACTCCGCTTTTGGCCTGAACAACCGAAGAATGGAGTGCCTTTTATTGAATTGGGGGGGATTGTGGGAGCAATAGATTTGAAGTAGCACCAGGAGCTCAGTTCTGAGCACATTAAATTTGAGATGCCGCCTCAGACATCTTAAGTGGGAAGGTCAGGGAATTCAGTGAGATAGAAGTCAGAGTCATTAGCATTTAAAACTCTGATAAGATTTGAGATCACCAACGGAGTGAGAATAGATAGAAAAAAGGAGAGCCAGAGGCCACTGCAACATTCGGAGATGGGGAGATTCGACAAAGGTGACTGAGGAACGGGCCATAGGGTGAGAATTGGGATATTGTTGTCACCAAGGAAACACAGTGTTTCAGGGAGGCAGGAATACTCAGCCTTGTCAAATGCTGCTGGTAGGTTAGGTAAGGTGGGAGTTGAAAATTGATCATTGGATTTAGCAACGAGGAGGTTACTAGTGACCTGGACAAGTGCTTCAGTGAAGTGGCGGAGACAGAAGCCTGACTAGAATAGATTCAGGGGAGAATGGAAGGAAATGAACAGAAGAGGGTGAATATACAGACTCTCTTTTCCAGAACTGTGGAGTCACGAGGGGTCAAGGAAATTTTTGGTTTTAGTTTTTTCAACGAGAGAAATTAACCCGTATTTTCTCAATGGCATGTATTAAAAAGATCTGAAGATCTTCTGAAATGATCCACCAGATTTGTGACACTTAAGACCTATGTGGGGAGGGTTAGCGTTTCCCTCCTAAGAGGATTTCATAGAATTGTGTTTTGTAAAGAATCTGTGTGTGTATGTGTGGGTAGGTTGGCACTGATTGTGTTAAAAGTTGCTTTTGTAATTGTTATGAAGTTCGGCTTCATTTCCTCTTGCTCAGGGTCTGTATTCACATTCTGATAAAAACTTTAAGGAAGAAAATGTTAAACTATTTCACCTCAACTGGAAGAGTTGAGAAAACTAGTGTCTGGGGGTAATTTATTTTCCTTTCCTGAAAGGAAGTTGCCAGAAGCATTGGGAGAAATTGAGGCAGAGACATGCCCAAGGTCACAAGACAAAACGTTGCCAGGATAACTGGGTCTTCGAGCTGATTCCCTAGCTATGTGGAACACTTAATCTCTGCATTTCCGTTCCAACCGGTAAAAAGGGAGGATAATATGTGTTCTACCTACTACACGAGGTTTTTACGAGGATCAAATGGGATAGTAGGTGAAAGAGCTTCCTCAGCTATAAAGCATTCTATACGTATTAAGTAATATTGTTAAAAGCAAGTTAGGCTTAAGGATATTGTGACAGTTTTTGTAATAACGAGAGATAAATGGAATGTAACAAAATCTGGGTTGAGAATAACTACAATACATAATACTAATAGAGTCTCCCAAGAATCTGCCTTTTGTGTATGTCAAGCTTTGTTAACAACACCACAGCGTCGATCGTATTTGGGTCATCATAGAGTTTTGTGGTTAAGAGCCACGGAGGAGATCCAAACAATCAGTCAGCTTATCCCCCAGGAGCCTCAGAATTACCGAACATCTGAGTATTTTGGCACGTTAGTGTTAGTTTGCTGAAACTCTGTGGAATAGCCGCTCTCTTAATGGAAAATATTCAAGTTATGATGATAAATTTTATGTCAAACTTGAGAGCATTTCTATATTTGATACTTGAAGTGTAACTGTAGTGATACTTTATTTTCATAAGAGATTGTTATGGGAAATTGAGAAATTTAAAATGGGTAGCCAAGGTCACTCGCCTTAAAGATGATGTGAAGATGATGAGTGATATAAAACCAGTATAAAACTGGACAAAATTGACAAAAACAATCATTTTTGGGCACTGGGAAGGCAGATAATAATTGTGCTGGTGCTTGGGTAGAAAAGTGTTTCCCCAATCCCAGCTCAGTTGGTAGGAACTGCAGTTTTGTCAGCTTACACTTTTTACCAGAAGTGAGGGACTTTGTAGTGGAGGCTGGGGTTGTGGGTAAATACCCCACAGCTTTGCTGGCTAAAACTGGCACACTCAGTTTACAATGGATAAGGAAAACCTCCAGCTTTGCTATATCACGTTTGCAGTCCTGTTTTGGGGCCACCAGGCAGAAATTGAACGGAGAGAGCTGGAAATGAGAGAACCGTAGAAGCATTGTGACGAGCTCTCCACACATCTGTGGCAGCTGCTAAACGTTGCATATCCAGGGGGGACAATCACACAACAAGTGAAAGCCAAGGGAGGCCCCTCAAAAGCTTGGGTGCGCCCTAGCCGGTTTGGCTCAGTGGATAGAGTATTGGCCTGTGGGCTGAAGGGTCCTGGGTTCGATTCCAGTCCAGGGTGCATACCCCGGTTGCAGGCTCCCGGCCTTGGTCAGGGGCATGGGGCCTGGTCGGGGGCATGCGGGAGGCAACCAATCGAATGAGTCTCCCTCACAGCGAAGTTTCTCTCTGTCTTTCCCTCTCCCTTTCATTCTCTCTAAAAGTCAATGGAAAAAATATCCTTGGGTGAGGATTTAAAAAAAAAGCTTGGGTGCAACTTTCAAAAAACCCACAAACAACTCCATCAGTGAAGCGGGGAACCCTTACAAATACGAAGTGTTTGGGCACAACCCCTGCTCACATCTCTGGCTGACCATGAACCTAGGCAGGCAGAGGTAACATGTAGGGAACTGGGTCAGAAACTATAAATCTGACTTTTAAAAACTCAGCAAAGTCATCAGGGACTATATGTCATGAAAGAGACAGATTCTATACTTTAAGTTTAAACTAATTATTAAAATGACCATCGACCCTTAGAATATTGAGATTTATCAACTGATGAGTGGATGGATAAAATGTGGTATATCCATGTAATGGAATACTGTTTGGCAATGAAAAGGAATGAAGTGCTGATACGTGCTAGCACATGGATGGACGTTGAAAACATTATGCTCAGTAAAAGAAGACCATCACAGAAGTCTGATTATGTGATTTCATCGATATGAAATGTCAAGAACATATATCCGTTCATATTAACATAAAAAAGACCAGAAAACTTAGGAATAAATTTAACAAG